AAATCATTGGCCTCGACAACCGTACCGTTAGTTCTGTTTCCTCCAGATTGGATAAAGAAGCGAAGAAAGTTGATTTGGTAGTAAACGAGGCCAAGACGAGATATTTACTGTCATCAACCAAATAGTCATCGCTATCGCGACTAGGCTCCCATGTCACTGTTGACAGTCATAACTTCGAAGTCGTATATAATTTCGTATCTTGGAACCTATTAACACCATAAAGAATGTCAGCCTGAATGACAGGTGCTACTTCAGACTGAGTGTGCAATTGAGAAGTTAAGTCCTCTCTCAACGAATAAAAACTAAACTCTATGAATCTGTGGAAGAGTTATACTCCTTTGCGAATGGGCCACGGCCAAAATCGCATCGTTGAGCTTTAAATATGTATATATATTATATTATATTATCAAATTTTTTAAAATAAATTTTGCATGAAAAATATTAAAATATTATATTATTAAATTTATTATATTAGGTAAAAACTCCGTATCTTCCACACAAATCAATAGCTATCATTTATATAAAATCGTCAGATGAAACGCCTCTGTACACGGCGGCATGCAGTTTAAATAATGGCGCAGAGACGACGTGGAATAACATTGTGTTTCTGGTAAAAGAATTGAGTTCTAATAAAACGTTGAAAAAATCAAATGACGATTTTGCTGATAAACATACATACATACGAGCTCGCATATATTATAATATATATTGATGTCGAATTGTGCATATCGACGCGGGGTTTACGAAATTTCTTTCAATCGACCATATCGGCTATGTTTTCAAGTTTGCTATTTTGCTGTTCTTTCTATTACAAAATTATTCATGCCGATTGGACAGCATTTTCATAACCTCGAATTTAGATAGAATGAGGTAAATCATACATCTATGAAGTTATATATTAAGTAATTAGAGGCCATAGAATTAATAAAGGATTTCATATAAATTTTATAATATAATGTCATATATAATACACAATGTGATTCAAATTAAAATAATGCCATGTTGCCAATTCTCCTTCTCAGAAAATTCTTCAATTTCAGATTTTTAACATCATCCTGAAGGAGCAGACCATAAACATCCAAATGGATTTCTAGTGGACCACGGTTAAATCATCTCGGTTGAAATACTCTCTACGGTATCGACGAATACCCTCCGGTTTAGAATACCGGTAGCTAAAGGCCGCCAACGAAAAAGAGTTCTACGCGCAAAAACTTGAGTTTATTTTGAAGCCCAGTGTTGGACCGGACAATGTTATTTTTAAGCGGATATAACATCGTCTCTAAGCTAAATTAGCTGAAGGCTAATTAGCTGAAGGCTAATATTTCGAAATGATCTTCGCGAAAAGTATGCGAACTTCAGTGACATGCGAAGTAGCTATCGCATTGTCTATTGTTTGTTTCCAGTGATTATTATGTTCCTGTACCATTCATAATGCGCAAGGAAAGACCTGTTAAGGAGGAGCCTGTTTTAGAGAATTTAAAAAAATAAAATTTTGGGAGGAAAAGAAACAATTTATTAAAGTGAAATTTCTATTGTTTATAGTTATATATTTAAACCTCATTCACAAATTTTTTGTATACGAAATCTTTGATATTCTGCCCCTGGGAAGCAATTGGCCCATGCATCTCACATGTGCCTTTGTCGGACGGCGGCAGGATGCAGGTCGCAATTTTTACCGGAAACAAAAGCTCAAAGAGATCGATATTTTTTAATAGTTCTAGTTAAACTAAAAAAACTTTCGAGAAAGTGTAAAAATTTTAAATTTGAAAAAAAATTATAATTTTTGACCAAAAAAATTTTACTTTATGTAGTTATTTAGTCTAAATAGAAGATAATTTAATGCCAAAGATAATAAACTTTGCCCCAATTACCCTACATGGCTAAATGAGTAGCGACGTCGCATCACATTCACATCAATTCACCAYACCGAATCAACCATTCAAATCATCACGCGAGAGAACACCACACATTAACACACATACACGCGCATGCATCCAAACGCGATGACATTTTTCATTCTAATTAGAATAAAAGGAAAAGAGAAAGGATGTCGCGCCCCCTTTTTGTCGATACGACGTCGATCGGTATACACCTCCGCTTTTCGCAGCATCGCAGCATCCCGGTTCCCTTCCGCAGTTACTCGCCTATAAATATATATTTAACGTTTTTAAAACCGGCTGTTATCCATTTTTGATCATTTTATATATACATATATGGTATATAATATATATTTAATGTTTTAAACTAATTTTGTAACAACCATTTCTGAGTGCATTTTGCATCAAATAAAACCTTTATAACGATTATATTGAATCTTGTGCATTTTTCGTTTTAACAAAAAGTGTGAGTGACCTGGAAGGTGAGTTTTCATACAATGCACAACAGGTGGAAAATTTTCATGAATTGGAAAAGTGTAGGATATTTACTTTTGCAATTCATGAAAGCGCTTTGTTGTAGTTCACGTATCGACCTATTTGATACTTCCTGATCTCATCTTGTTCAAGGCCAGTAATCGCCATGTTGCTTCCTTTGGTGACGTATTTGATCGATTTCACCAAACTGAAAATTCACCTCCTGTCAATGTTGAATATGGTACGATCCATGTATTGTCAACTTGGATAATCATGCTTCTAAATTAAATTAAACTATGTGTTCTGCCATTGTCGCCTGGAGAGCGACGCCGATAGAGTCGATATCCATCATTTCCAGTTTGTGTTTCCGAAAGAAACACGTGGATAGTGTTTCGTGCATTTATTATCAGACATACAAACCGAAGTGGGATTGTGGTGTCCCAAGGTCCATGAACCATATTGGTTTTCACCACTTCGTATAATTCTGGATGTGTTTCTGGATCAGGAATTTCTGCAGAAATAATTTCATCAATTTGATCTGGTGTAACCACCATAACCATTCGAAGAAGAATGTGTGCTACTCAACAGAATACATTCAGCAAGATAAACTCCATCAACCATCGCAGCTGTGTTTGAAAAGTCGTGCTGTGGCATCGCATCCTCTTAGGGCGACCTCTTTGTGGCTTCGTAACAAATATCAATCTGCAATTGATCACTTTGTGTAAAACACACATGAAGAATAATTTTCAATAATTTTTCTTTTGAATAGCCGGAATAAAAAGGCAAGCGACCGGAATTGAACAATTTAAATAATTTATAAATCAAAAAATTGAAAAACAAAACACACCAAAAAAAAAAAAAACACATTGTATGCGAAAAAGATACTTTTTGGAATTGTCCAATTTGTCGACTTTTTCTCATGAAAAGTAAGGAAAGGGAAAAAGAAAAGAGATGTTTCTAGGCGTTTCGCGTCAACTGTTCGAATTTTTCTTGCCGTAAAAGCCATTGGCCAAATTGGTTTAGGCGTTGTTGAGTTATGCGCTTAGCAACACAGTTGCGATGCATTTTTATTTTGTATATAATATAAGACTAGTAGCCGTTGACCTGCGGGAAGTTATGTGTTTTGAAATGAAGAGAAAGTTGAATTTATCATTTAATTTTTTTTTTCATTATAACGCAGCTCGATAAACAACATTTTTTGGTTTCTGTTCCGGTGTACAGAAAAGATGGTTTTCAACTCTGGCCATGTGAAAACATAGCATTTCCAAATTTATGCCACACACTATGCGACATTCCTTGTGTCCAGTTGATTGTTATCTAAAATGCAATTTTCAGTTTAAACGCAATCCGTTTGAACTGGAACGGCAAATCTTCAGAACTCAAAGAAATTCGTAGAATCAAGCATTCTGTCCTCTTGTCATGATCAGTAGTGTTTGAACAGAATTTAGAAAGAAGACGATTGATCGATTGGTATGAGGGTAAACCTCCGGAATTTGTCTTTGAATCTTCCAGTTTAAGTCAACAACATCGGTATTTTTGGCAGCTATCGTAGCTCCGATAACTTGGCCAATGTCCGAACATTCGTGATGAGTTTATCTTCCGTGACTTGATAAACGGCAGATGAAATTAATATCAAGCCAGAGAATGTAAAACATAGAGAAGGTGCAGGTTCGATGTCGAACATTTTTAAAATATGATATGAAATTTCACCTCACAACTACAGAATTCAAGCTGTGAAATGTTAACATTTTTAACAGTTCTCTCGCATATTCAAATAAAGAATATGAAGAGAATTAAATATATGTATGCATGGTGATTCCCCCAACAACAGCATTGTGATATTTTCGTGCTTAAGTTTTTCTTTCAACTTGGGAATCGCAATGTATGCAAATATGTATGCTTCTGCGTTATGCCGTCGGCAGTTCAATATTGACATATAAACATAATTATGATATGAGTATAATTTTGTATGAATGCATGCATACTATATGTTCGCGCCTATCTGGCATCATCTTTTTAAACATATGTTTGAAGCTACAACGGCAGCACTTATGTGCTTGCTGTCAACCAGCTTCCGTTTTATCTCTCTCTTCAATAAAGGAATTCGACCGCATAACACGTCTTTCAGTTCAATCCGCATAAATACAATTCATCTTCCGCGAACGTTATTAAACATCAACATATCTTGGTCCTTCGAGCCGGATATCATCGCATATTAATGATATTCCGTAAATTC